TATCATGAAATCATTAATCTTGATCAAATGGGAAACACATTTTTTAAGTGATTCTTTTTCATCTAAGCATGCCTTAGTCTTTATATGCTAAATCAAGATAAGCATGAAAGTTAAAGATGTAAAGGCAAAATCTTATAAAACAACTCATTAAGCAAGATTTTTAATATCTATTTTCAAGCCATATAAAGAGTAAGTCAAGGATTCAATTATCTCATGTCATGAATTCCAACAGGCATCTCAAATTATCAACATCACATTAAAAAGATATTTTGAAAAGATATATCGATAAGTGATTCATTTGTATCATTTCATTCATTTAGAAGATTCTCCTCTTTGGTAAATAAATCTAGGAGAACAAAATGAATTAAGGGAGATATAACATGATTGAAGCATTGAATATGATTCATATTTAAAATGTGTCTTATGTCATAAGTATGAATCAAGCATTTATGAAATCTGAAATCATCCTCAAAGTCACATTCAATAAATTTATATATGACAAGCATAGCTTTATTGAAAAGTCGATAAGATAGAGGATCGCATTTCATTTTTATAAATTTCTATTCATGTGATTTGCTTCTTATAAGCATGTCTTTACCTTTAATAAAACAAGTGTCAACATTTAAGACGAAAAAGTAAATTTCGTAAAACAAATCATCAAGCATGATTCCATGATAACATCCTTTTAATATCTTAATATTCATCATCAAGTATGATTTCAAAAAGTATATTCAAGAGAAATCATTAAGACCAAATGCATGATACACTCATTTATTTTCAAAATATTCATCATGTTTATTTTCATGAGATTCACAAGATTGGTAAAATAAATTCATTAATCTCAATAGGATAGAAAATTCATTTCTATTTCATACAATTGATTTCATGTGAGGGTATTCAAGTTTTTTGTGAAAACATGTATCATCATTTAAAATCGAAACATAAGTTTCGTCATGAAGCTGTCAAGACCAAACATACATAGATGTACAAGTACTATGTCATCTTAATATGTCATGAGAATGTCATCTTAATTCATCATAAAAATGATTAGACCAAAAACAGGTTAATCTAAAATGAGAGTTTCAAATCAACATTTACTTCAAAAACTCATGCATAACATAAAATCATCAAGATACACATGCATGGATTAATCCTAAACATTATCACATATCATATAATTATCATCCCTAATGTTGTATACATTATTCAACATTTCAAAACATAACATGCATGAAATCTTAGCAATATACTTTTCATGATCAAATTTTTAATTTTTCAAAGATGCTAAAAAGAAAAACATGATATAATTATTGAAAAATAATTTTTTATTTCCTATTCCTACTATCTAAATTAAGCACTCATGAAAAACTTCAAGTAATTTCAAAATAATTCAAGAGAGTTGAGTTACTTACCTTGTAGTCAAATCCCGTCAAAGCCCAATTCGTCGTTTCACCTTTGGAAGTTCTTGATTCATCCTTGGTTGCCTTCCTCTTCTTTGGCCTCTTCCTTCGTTCAAGTTTATTATTTATTTTAGATTTTTGTTTAATGAACTTATTAAGATTTAGTGTTCGAAGTTCAAGTTCATCATTGTCCTCGTCACTTGAGTCATCGCTCAAGTGATATTCATTTGTCCGGAGTTTTAAATCCTTCCTATTCTTTGGAAGGTGGTTCAAGTGCTCATCGGGTTCAAAATGTTCTAAAAGTGTCATTTCATAGGTCATTAATAACCCGATTAATTCTTCTAATGGAAAATCATTTAAATTTTTTTATCTCTTGTATTACGGTTATTTTAGGATCCCACCTTTTTGGAATGGATCTTAAGATCTTGCTTACGAGATCAAAATTTGAAAAAGATTTACCAAGAACTCTTAGATTATTGACGACATCCGTGAAACGGGTGTACATGTCCGCCTATAGTCTCAC